TCCTTAACTAAATCATAAGTTAAACCTCGTTGCTGATATAATGGTTTCTTAATTAAATCTTTGAATGCTTGAGATAAAGCACCTGATGCAATTCTTGCTACTATAATTGGTTGGAATTGCTGTTTAAGTTCATCTTTAACATTTGCGAAAACTGGATCGAATAAAGCAACTTTAAAGAATTTCTTAGCTGAAATTTCAGGTCTAATATTTGCATATTGACCATCAAACTGGTTAGAATATCGTGGTAATCCATCCGGTCCCTCTTCAATAGCATTTAATTCTTCATTGAAATAAGAATATGGATTATGACGGTATGAATTAATTGGACCATTTTCACCTTCTCCAATGTATTGTTTAACAGCTTTTCCATTTTCATCAAATTGCATAGGATAACGTTCATTATATGCTTTACGTTTAGGATAATCAGATATAGTTAATTTATAACCATTTATGACTTTAATATTACCTTGACCATCAGTAACGAAAACTTCATTTATACCATCAGGTTTTCCATTTGGACCCGTAATGTCTGCTTCGTGTGCTTCCCAATTTGGACCATGACGTTTGGCATATGCTTGAGCTTCTGGTAATGTTAAAACGTTTCTCATTTGTTTAACATCTTTTTGAAGACCAGCAACAATATGAACTAATTCTTTCATTCCATCAGGAACTTTCATAGTTCTATTATATGCACCCTTTTTGTTTGTCCCTTGTTTTAATGGAACCTGTAGAAGATTTGCTATTTCTGTCATGTTTAATTATAAATAAAAAATAAAAATTAATTATAAAAAGTTAATCAAATTTAACACTTCCTTTATTTAAATCAACTATTATTTTTCCATGTTCACCTAATTGCTGATATTGTGTGTAAAGTTCATTAATGCTCATTGGTAAATTCACTTGATAAAGCATAACGTTCAACTGTTGACGACTAAACCCACTGAAAATGAAAAGGGTTGATAGATTTGATTTAATGTTTGTGCTTAATGCTTTGAAATATTGAACAGCCATAAAGAATGAACACTGAATGTGTCGACATTGAGTTAATAACTGATTAAAATATGATTTCTCATTTGTTATTAGTTTTGATTTCACTGCATCATCTAGAAAAATGAGTGAATGCAAAAATTCTCTATCAAAATTTGAAATAGAAAGTGTTTCAAATAATTCATCCCGTTGTTTATCAATAATTTTATCCTCTAATCCTTGCTTCTTGATTGTATTATATAATTCTTTATACATTAAAAAGTTTTTTAAATAATCTTCTGCTTCTTCTTGTGATAAATAAATAATTGGAATTTTGATTAAATGCTTTAAAGATTCAAATGTATCATCTGAAGGTGAACCTGAACGGTTGATATAAATTAACACATGTGAATGGGGGAAGTGTTAGCAATAATGATAATTTGTTTTAATATCGTTAATGTTTTACCTTTATTTTGTTTACCAATTGCTGCAGTGATTGAATTTAAGTAACATTCAGAATATGGAATTTTCATTAATTTTTCCTTAGATAGAGCATTTCTATTATCACTCAATGCTTCATTAATCATATCATCTACGTATGTATTATATACTCCTGCTAATTCTTCATAAGGGGTGGATGAATTTAAATCCATTTAATCAAAAATAAATTTATAATTTTAAACATTTCTATTCATCAATATTTCATCATATGAACTTCTATACTGTGGTGGTGTACCTGTTGGATGATATTTCAAACCTTCATCCGGTGTCCATGTCCAATACGTAGTCCTAGTAAACCAAACCTGAGGAGGATTTGTCACCTTTGAACAGTAAGTGTCATTTTCACCCTGAATGATTGGATAAGCTTTCACTTGTACTGTAACTTGTGAGTTGAAAGTTTCTAATCCATCAAAGAATATACCCGCTCCATCACGTTGAACTGGAATAGTGCATAAGAATGAAGTTTGGTCTTTCCATGTTCTAGCTAATGGCGTGCCATTATCATCATTCAGTGGTCTAGTTAATGAGTCCTCGTATTCTTCTGTGCATTCATTCACTCCATCTAAATCAGAAGCTTGAAGCATACGTGTAAAGAATATGTCACCCACTGTGGTCATCGCTTGATCGGGGAAGTTTCTGGAATCTATAGTGACCTGAAGACCTCGAAGCATTGGATTTTCTAAAACTGTTCTTTGCATTGCATTCTTCGGAAATGTTAACACAACATCTGTAACATTATGAAGAGCGTATGAGAAATCTGAGCTAATACCTTCAGGAGTGATGCAACCTCCATTTAGTGAACGAACGTCAATATGTTGAGCTGGAATCATGAATGGATCTTCCTTACTGAATAAACGTGGTATTGCTTTAACTGATTCTTCAATTAAACCGTATCCTGGTGTAATGCATTTATCCTCTAAAACTTCCATCTTTGTGCATGAAATAATAACGTCATCAACTGTTGCGTCAGCAGATGTAGCGGCTAAGCTTGTAATTAATTTGGCAGGAAGTCCGATTTGTTGGAATTTGCGATCATATTTATAAACATGATTCATAATCTTTTCATAATTTTCATCAGTTATCTTTTCATAAACGTAATTTTGTAAATCAGCAACTCTTAACGGGTCAACCTGACAAAATACTAAAGTATCCCTGAAAACATAATATTTAAGAATGATATCACCAAATGATTTAGGATAATCATCGAACGCCTGAAATGCTAACAAATCATTTACCGGAATAATCATATCAAAAGTGACATCAACTTCTTCATTTGCTTCTTGAAAACTTCTGAAGGGTCAATATATTTACCACATACTGAGTTATCATATTTTTGAACATTATTATATAACGAATGAACAAACTTTTTAACTTTCCTTTCTGATTTTGGTTTATATGTTGCAAATGCGAAAGATTCACGGGCGCAATCCATCTGAAGATAACCGGCATCACCTCTTTCGGTTTCTACTTCTAATTGTTTAAAGCTTTGATTTGATGATTTGTAACCAACGAATAAACGCATGCATTTAAAAGCGGCATCACATGTGAAAGCTTTATTTGAAACTAGAGTTGCTTTAACTTTGCGTTTAATATATGTGTCACCTAATTGGTTCACATCATGAGCCGGATTTGTAATTCTTAAATGAGTTTGTTTATCATCAAAATATGGAGCATCAGAGTCATAGCATGAACTTTCAAGTTCTCTATAATATCTTCTACCGTCATTCTTTGCGAATATTTCATTTATCTTTTCGAATGAATGAAACACATTTCCATTAATCGGTTTAGTGTTTGGCACCAAATAGTTAGTCGTCATTTATTATTAAATAAAAAATCAAAATTAAAAGATGAAAATGAATTTTTAATTTTAATGAAATAATCAACTATGGCTGCAGGTATATTTAAGAAACTGTGGGATAAAGTAAAAAGAGGAGCGCATAAAGTTTGGGAAACAATGAAGAAAGGAGCAAATTGGATATTTAAGAATAAAGAAGCAATTAGTGACGTTGCTGAATCAATAACACCAAAAGCTGCCCCAATAAGAGAAATTAAATAAAGGAGAAAAAGTTTATCAAAGACTTCAACCGATACTAAGATAAAAATAATATTTATTTATTTTTCCACTATCTACCTCCTATTTTATTAAGTATTCCTTCAGCTATTCCACCAATTGCGTTACCTGCTTGTGCTCCCATCGCCGGATTACCTGCTTTAGTACCTAATACTCCACCTATGATAGTTCCTGCCGTTTTCGCTACTGGTGCCAAAAAGTTTGCAACGGGTTTAATAATCTTTTTATGAACCCAACCCGCAGCTTTCTTAATTCCATCCCATAATTTTTTAAAGAATCCTGCAGCCATTTCTGATTTAATATTAATTAAAAAATATATTTCATCACTTATATTCTAATTTTTATTTAATGATAAATGAAACCGATTTTAAAAATAAATGAAACAGAGGAGGAAGAAATAAATGAAAGTGAAAATGTTCAACAAAAAATAAACGTTGTTAAACCAATTACTGAAATAAAAATTTTTTCATCTGTTGAAGAATTTAATGACTATTATGCTAATAATAAAAAATTATTTGAAGAATTGACAACGTGTAAATTGAATAAAATGTTTAAAGTTGATGGATTCAAAATTTCAAAAATAAAAGGGGTGATTAGTTTGAAATCTATTCCTCAATCAAGAATCACCTCATTAATGAAAATTGATGATTTAACAAAAAGAATAGAAGAGATTGAAGAAAGAATGAATCAAATAATTGATTTCATAAATTCAAATAATCATTAGTTTCTTAAAGTTCTATGTTGAACTCATCAAATTCTTTTAATGTGTTTATTTCATTATGTATGGGCTGAGTGTAAATGTCTTACAATTTTGAAAATTTTTTAAATCTTGATTTATTCAAAAACGTAAGAATAAAACCGTAAGAATCATATATTTTTTAATTAATATGTTAAAAAAAATGATACAAAATCGCTCGATATTGTATGAATTCTTACGTTTACAAAAAAAGTCACACAACCCATCCTATCCTACTACTATTATATTGGATTTCCTCTTCTATCAAGTAAAATCAAATTATAACAGGCTTATATTATACATATTATTTCTTAAGAAATGATGTATATTAATCGAGATTGTAAATGATTTAAAGATCTTGATTAATTATTCAAATAGAGTGGCTATTTTATAATACACATTATCAATCGCATATTTTATTTAGGGCTGCTAAATTTTTTCCATGCTTCAGGGTGCACTTACGCCCCTATGACAGGACCTTCAATTCAGATGTTTAAGGTTAATTTTCAATGGCGCTTCACGCCAGTTGTCAAAAATTTGAATTAAAGTCAGATGGGCGTGAGTGCAGCCTTAAATCTTGGAGGATCTTAAGATACTAAAAGTGACACAAGGGGGAAAAACACAAAATAATATGGTGAAATGAACCAAAGTAACAATTTGATATTTGAGTATAAATAAAGCTATATGTATTCTAATTTTCAGAATTTAGCAAAAAATAATTTAAATTTAATCATATAAACTTTTTATTGGCTTAAAAGAAATAATATGACAAGGTCCTTCAAGATCTCTAGCCATGTCACTAGGAGTAACACTTTGATTATTCCTTATGCTGATATTGATAGTTCTAAATCCTAAGAGAATTTTAATAATTTCTTGATTATTTTTTCTGCATGCTTCATGAAGAGGAGTATTTTCTACCTTATTTTGTGCATTAATATCAATTCCATCTAATGTTAAAAGGAATTTGACAACATCGATTGAATTATAATAACAAGCATAATGGAGTGGTGTGTCTCGATAATTATTTCTCATATTAGGGTCAATACCACATGAAATAAGATCCTGAACAAGAGATAAATTATTAAATATTATGCTATTATGAATTATTGGCAAATCAAATTTAGGTAGTGTCATCATATATTCATTATCAACAGCAAATTTGATTGAATAAAGATCTCATTCTCGACTGCATTTTAAAAATGTTAGATAAAGATTTTGGAAATCATTTGATTTCCAATATTTTTCAAGTGAATTTATGTTTTCATCTGTTGTTGAAATTTTATCAAATGTATAATTATTATTTGATGATAACATTAATGTTTCAAATAAATGAGTGAAGATTTCATTTTCGTTTTGAATATTTTCATATGATTTATTTCCTGTTTTGATTTCTTGATCAAAACAGTTGATAAATGAAGAATAAAATTTGATGAAACGATAAATTGTTTCGTTTGTGCAGAATTCGAATCTGATGAATTCAATCAGTTTGTCGAATTTTGATGTTTCTGAAAATGATAATAAAGGTGAAAATGTTTTGATGAATGAAATAACAAAATCACAGATATCATCTTCATTGTAGACAAAAACATGTCTATTACTCAAAATACTTGAAATAAAATCAACAAAAATATTATCGATGTTTTCGTTAAAATATGATGATGCAATAGAATGATAAACAGATTCAAAAAGAAGACAAAGTTTTGAAGGTCCAAGAAAAGAGATATGAGATGCGATGAATGAACATGTTTTATCGAAATCACGTGTTTTAAGACTGTATCGGATGAATGATTCGATGTTTGATTCACTGATAATTGTTGATGAAATAATGAATTTGTATTGTGAAATAAAATCTTCATTCTTGAGAAGAACACCCATATCATAAATAATTTCACTTGTTTCGATGTGGATTAGGGATGCGACGGTTTTACGCCATGACCGTTTAAAAATAGAATAATACGCCATTTTTGGGGCCGAATGGCGGCTACTTCGTACCCGCCATTCGGCCGAATAACAAAACAATACAAAATTATCGCCGTCCTTTTTTCTTTCTTTCTCTTTTTTTTTCTCTCTCTTTCTTTTCTCTTTCCTCTTTTTACTCCTCTTTCTCTTTTCATCATTAAACGTAGAAAGATATATTAATATTATTTTAAAATTAAAAAAATAAAGAAAGTATAATAAGTAATTATTTAGTTATCGATATATATATGTAAAGTGATAATCTGAGGATAATCTGAGGAGGAGTCTGAGGATTAGACCGAGGAGTAGTTTGAGGAGTTTGAGGATAATCTGAGGAGGAGTCTGAGGATTAGACCGAGGAGTAGTCTGAGGAGTTTGAGGATAATCTGAGGAGGAGTTTGAGGAGTAGTTTGAGGAGTAGTCTGAGGAGTTTGAGGAGTAGTTTGAGGAGTAGTCTGAGGAGTTTGAGGAGTAGTTTGAGGAGTAGTCTGAGGAGTTTGAGGAGTAGTTTGAGGAGTAGTCTGATGAGGAGGGGTCTAAGGAGTAGTCTGAGGATGATGAGTAATCTGATAAGGAGTAGTCTGAGGATGATCTGAGGATAACCTGATGACTAGTCTAGGAGTGCTCTAATAAAAATGTAAAATATTTTCAAAGAAAAAATTCTATGAATTTTATATTTTAATTCTTAGCATTATACTGAATAAAATAAACATAAATATCAAAATTTGAAATTGAACACGCCAAAAAATTGATAATCCACATTCAATATTTTGTAAGTGGCGTACTTTTTGAATACTCGCCATACGCCTTGGAGTTCTCAATTTTGAATTCGCCTTTATTTGGGCGACCTCAGAAAAATACGCCATTAAGAAAATATTGTATGAGATTTTAAATTTGAACACGCTCTACCTTAAGGAATTAAATTTATTAAGATATATTTATATATAATAAACGATTACATAAAAAAAGTATTTCATCGCTTATGTAAGTTTCAAAAAAATCACGAAAATAAAAAAATCAAGATTAAAATTTTATTTTTAATTTTTGAATTTCTCAAATGGCGAAATTTTTGGGCGAACAAAAAAAAATGTACGCCCGGTCAAATGGCGTGTTTAACGCATCCACATTGTGGATGTTTTCTGAAACATATCCTTCTTGAACAAACTTACAAAAAATGTTTAATGCTTTATTAAATGATTCTTTATTATTAATATCAGTATCAATATCAATATTAATCTCTTGTGTACTATTGTCTGTAATCAACATGTTTCGAACTGTTTCACTTACAACAACTGCGTGTGATTGTGTTGTATAAAATCGATGACCATTGATAACGAAACAAAAATCACTTCCATATTTAACTAAAGATGAATTTCTGCAATAATGAGAATTAACAACAAATTTAATATCACTCAGAAAAATTTTGAAATTTGTCACTTTTAAAAATTTACCATCATTATTTATTGTCAAAATATCAAAAATACTTTTTAGATAAAAGTTGTATTAAAGGTTTATTTCAATTAAAATTTGAAGTTTTGACAGGGAAAAAATTCCAAAAAAGTTTTGAAAATGAAAAAAAAATCAAGAAAATATTCGTCAAGGAAAATATCATTTTTTTAAAAAAAAGATTGATTCGAATGATCCTAACGTTGAATTAAAAACTTAAAGAAAATATCATTTTGGGGCGGCGACAAATTTGCCCAGCCAGTAAAGTATTCAATTTTTTTTGCATTTTTTTAAGGGTGCACACGAGAGGATCATGTAAACTTCAGAATTTAGCTTCTTAAGGGTGCACCCATATGTACGTTTATTTGAGAGGAGGAGGATTACCCTCTCAATTTTGAGGGATTCGTTAGTTTATTTTCTCGATGAATATGCAATAAAATTTGATTTTTACCTTATCAATATACTTCATATAATATACACATAGGGTTGTTAAAAACATCAAAAATTAGCGTTTTGAAGACACCATGGTGTCTTATAATTTTCCCTTCCTTATTGGCGTGTAGAAATAAATGCGCCAATAGATTGAAGAAGAAGAATTGTTTTTCTCTTAATGAACTTTAATCCTTTTGATATAAGAATATTAAAAACATTAATATAATTTCGATTTCGGAATTAAATTTCCAAATTTTTTTGTCGATTTCGGAAATAACAGGATCCCGCATCCAACACGCAACAACAAAACACAAAACACACTTTTTGGTTTCTTTCATCGTTTTAATCGTAATTTATGTAATACATGATTTGGATAAATTTTACAAAATAGAACCTATATTATATTCTTTTCAAAGATTCTTGCAAATCATCAAAATAATTGTATTTTAAAAAACGATCAAATTATCCTTTCATTATTTTAAACTTAAATTAGTTTTTATGATTGACTAAAGCAATCATATTTATTCATCATTAAATAAACGAAAAAATAATATTTGAGAGTTATTTCAAAAAAAAACATTGAATTTATTAATTTGTCTCAATTTCAGTATTATAAATTTTTATAATTTCAATATTTTGAAATACACTTTTTAATATTTCAATATTTATGATATTTCAATGTATTAAGTGGTCTCAAATTGAGCTTCTCAAATATAAGTTGGCCTATTCAAATAATAAAATTAAATAATATTTAAAATAATAAATAAAAGTGATTGAGGTCATAGCAAAAACGGCTGTTTCAGTCATTAATTCTTAAAAATAAAAAGGGTAAAAACTAAATACAATGGGTAAAATTAAATAGTGTCTGTGCTATCGTTCAATTTGAAGGTGTCTTTTGAAACCGCAATACACATTGAATTTTTGAATAGTGTATTATGGTTTGACAGACACCAATGAAAAAAATAAAATGATATTTATTTTAAATATATAAGATCCTTATATAAAATATAAATATTTTATCGTTTTATTTTCTTGTTTTAGAAATGTTTTTTATTGAAAAATCAATACCCAGATTTGCCTTACTTTTACCACCTCTCTAAAGCTGGGGACACCGCCTATCGTTGGGAGTAGCTATTAAATAGAACCACCAAGGGTATTTTTCGAACTGCCGGTGTAGTGGAAACATCCGACATAATGATTCATTATGCCAAGGTTTGATTCTCATTTAGCTAATTTTTTTCTTTTTTGGATCATGAATTTTTTTTTGGGTCACTATAAGATTTGTTTCATGTCTAAATCTGCTGCATATGTAATCTATTTTTATTTACCTATTTTTAAAAATCTATTGGATTGCCAAATTTGAATATATTTAAAAATCATAAAACTGCAAAAAATATAAATATATGTTTTATGCATAGTGCCGATACTCAAATATCAGATTACTTAGATCCATGAATAATATCCGAATTTTTTTTCTTAAAATTAAACTTCAAAACTTCTTGCAATCTTATTCTTAATCAATTGGAAATTTTTAAAACCATTTTTTAAAATAATTTTGCGTAAATTTTATTCTCATGTTGTTTTTAATCGAAAATTGATACATTTTCACAAAAATAATATTGACTTATGAAATTCATTTTTAAGGTGAAATAGTATTGTTTTTATTAAAGTATATGAATAATATATAAAAAATTAATGAATAATATAAGCAGATTTTTAGTTTACAAAACAAATATGAGCAATGCAATTTCAAACTTTTGCTGGCAATTTCGATATTGCTCAAAGTTTGTAGTATTTGTGATACCTATAACATCGGCTTAATCAAAATTCGATTTTTTCTTATGAGTTATTGAGAAAATTTGATTGCAATGAGAAGGATTTCGACGTTTTTGATAAACTAAGAGCTGAGCTTTAGGGTTCAGTTCATTTATGGCTGTAGTTTGATGCGTAGATCTCTTTTTATTGTAAATTCTTTCAGCATGGAGATCGAGAGAATCTTTTGAGAACTTTATGAGTTTTTACACCCGTAAAGAGGTCCTTCGAGGAAAGATAGTCCAGACTACATGAAGATGTGGGTTAACCAAAAAAATCCGATGGTTTCCCCATATTCATGTAGATCTTCGAAAAAATGAGCACCAAAAAAAGCCAAAAAAATAGGCTTTTTATTGGATTGTACACTAGATCAATAATCATTTTAGGATCTGACACTCTTTTTAGCCAGAGATATGAGGTCCTTTCTAGGAAAACGATCTATTCATCCATAAAAAAAATGAATTATCGTTTTCCCCAGAAATTACATGGGGAGTGGTAAAAGTAAGGAAAATCTGGGTAAAACTAACTCCAAAATAAAATTTTTGATTTAAAGACACTACGATGACACCAGGCAAATCTTCCAAGACACCTATCGTCGGGAATTATAGATCCAAGGTGATGTGATTTTTGCATCCCTGGGATGGACGATACACCCAAAGTGTCACCTTTTTTGGGATAACATGAATTTTAAATATCATGAGAGTTCTGCAAACCATATGCACAATATCTATTCAGCCTGACTTCTTGTATATATGAGTTAGACTTCTTAAATATTGTGCTTGGGGCGATATAAGTATTTCCGAGATTACCATCGTGCTCTATAGTATGCTACTTCTCCCTGGTTCTAGCTCAGTTCCAAGGATATTGGCGTTCAAGGATTTGGCAAGGTCCTTCCGAAGTCTCTCATTCGATGAGAGATTTCGGAAGAATCTTGCCTTAAAGTACTCCAACTCTTGTTCTTTTGTTCCTAAATAGTGAGAAAAGTTATTTGACTACTTAAGGTAGAGATTATCCGAGGTCCCTCATTTGATGAGAGGCCTCGGATAATCTCTGCTTTAAAATTGTACACTTGTAGTCCATGAGAGTGTAAGTATACATTGATAGGACAGCTTTCTTCTGAAGTCTTAGATTTGATGAGAACCTCAGAAGAAAACTGTCCTATTTTATAGTAAAAGGAGTTTCAGGAGCTCCAAAGCTCCCTTTCGTAAGGATTAGGAGCTTTGGAGCTCCTGGTTCGTAGATGTGTTTCGCATCTTTCATCAGCAAAGGACATTTACCATCTGGGACTCTGTTGATGGAGACTCAGGAGCTCCAAAGCTCCCTTTAGTAAGGATTAGAAGCTTTGAAGCTCCTGGTTCGTAGACGTGTTTCGCATCTTTCATCAGAAGAGGCCCAAATGGTAAATAGCCTCTGCTGATGAGCTTCAGGAGCTCCAAGACTCCCTCTCGTAACGATTAGGAGCTTTGTAGCTCCTGAAGGTAAGGTAGGATTGCTCTGATCTCTAATCAGTAGATGCCATGCCTCATTATGAACTCTACTGACAAGAGATCAAGAGCTCCAAGGACTCCTTTTTTAGTTAGTGGCGTTCTCACCATTTAGTAGGATTGCTGATCCTACTAATGAAGTGATCACTTAGTATACGTTTTGAATAAATTGAATTTTTTTTAGAATTTAGTATTTTTTATAGACATCACATGTATATTATAAATACATAAATATATTCTTTAATTCAAAAAATTCAATTCGGTTTTGGGATGGGCATCCCAGCCCCAAGTATTCAATTTTATTCAATTTTTAAAGAATTTTGGGTTGGGATGCCCAGACCAAAACAAGCTTTATATTTTGATGTGTAGATACGTATGTGTGCATCATTGTTGTGTTATATATTATGTTTTTAATGAAAATAAATCTGATTCAAAAAAAATTATCACTAATTAGTTGATAATATAAAGAAAAAATAGATAAATTGTATGTTTTGAGAGTATTTATCCACATTCACTCATATGAATTTCATTAAATAGTGTCTTTTTACTCCCAAATTTATTTTGAATTATTGAAATCAAAGAAAAAAAATCAGAAAAATTTCTCGAAATTTTTATTTTCAAAAAAAATTTGGATTTTATATTGAAAACTGACACTGGGAGGACGATAGGGCTGGGATTGGAGATACCCCGCTCACTTGGGAAAAATACGGATCTATATCGGGAATCTAACAACCCTATATACTATGGCATTCCAAACGGGAACCGCGGTTGGTTACCATGGATTTCCGTCACCGGTCACATTTTAAAGATTTTTAAAGCCTTATAAAAATATGCTTTGTAAATCATTTTTTGTAAATCGGCAAAAATTTGGTAATTTTCTTCAACTAATAAATCTGCGAATAGCATTTATAATACAAGAACAATCTTTTAAAATGCGTTTGATTCATTTTTGTATAATTTCATATAGGCACATATATTCTTCCGGGACTTTCCGTGATTTTACCGTAAAATCATTAGTTTACACCAATTTTTCCGTATTTTGAATAGTTTACTGCACTTTTTCCGTAAAATTGAGTTACGGGAATCCGCAAAATTTCCGGACCTCATTTTTCATAGAATATAATAATAATATTTGATAAAAAGATATATTATTTATATTTTTGATTTTTGAATTACGGAAAAAGTGAATTGATAACTTGATTTTTTTATATGGTTAATTTTTCAAATGATATTATGAAGATCTAAAATATTAAAAGTAAAAAATTGAATTACGGAAAAAGTGAGGTCAAAAGTGAAATAAATTTGCAGAACAATTTTCATTGAAATAAGCTTTATTTTTCATTATTAATAACAATGCTGTAATAAACAGAAATTCATCAAAAGTGACAGCTCTCAATTTTTTGACATTTGTAAATTCTAAATTGAATGAGAAAAATGAAATAATACTAAGCATAATATAATATTCTAGATTTAATTATAATTAGGAAAAGTTAGTTTTGAGAGTACTTTTCATAGGCATATAGAATGAAATCTTCTGAAAAATAATATCATATAAACTCATATTATTTTCTAATATATAACTATTTTATATAAAAATCAAATTCAATGATCTTAAAAGCGAAGGATAAACCTCAAAATTTACGAATATAATGAGTGGGAATATAATGCTTATCTATCATAAAACCATATGAAATATCAATTTTTGCTTTACGCCTAATTTTTGACGACAATTAGCAAAAAATGTTAAATGTTAACACTCAGTCCATTTGAATATGAAAAATAAAATTGACTTTGATTAAATGTTTTTATTTATCATGCAATTCTTCTTGCGACCAAAGATTTGAATAAAATTTCAAAAAATAAGATAGCTTAAAAATAATATACGGTAGTGTTTACTAATAGATGAATAGTATATAAATTCTATTAAAATGGATTTGATCCAAAAAAATATATAAAATTTGATCATAAATAAAATCGTTTTAAATTACTTCTTCATTTAAATTATAACAATTATTTTTGGTTTTATAGTTTTTAAAGCTCATGTGGTTTTTTTAACCACAGAATACTTATGTGCTGTAGCAAGCTTGCAATCCAAAGCTCACGTTAGACAACAAGAGTCATGAAGTCTCATACTAAGGGATATCCAACATATATTTTAATAATCTAATGTTTGTGACAAATATTCAACTTAAAATTAAGTTTTCGTTTCGTTACAAGGCATTCATACTTTGGAGATATCATATTTAATGTACAGAAAAGTTAATATTAAACAATACATGCTAAAGAATTAATAAATAAGATAATAAAATAAATTTATACGTAATTACTTTCATTTAATATGCTTTATGCTGTATAATATTGATTAAGAGGCATTAAAAGGTTCCATAATCTGCTTTTATAGGCAAGATTTTTGATAAAAATTTTAAATTTTGAAAAATGATGAGAAAAGGAAAAAAAAGTAAATGAGAGCAAGAGGAGGGAAAAAAAGAAAAAGAAAAGGAAGGGAAGGGAAAAATAAAAGAAAGAAGGACATATAAAAGTTTAGATGCGCATTCTTAATGCCGAGGCGGCTTGCCGCCGAGGCGCGATTTTTTTAGGCCTCTACGGTAACCCGGCAATGTTTTTTTAAATCTTGTACAGCCCTACTATATACACATGTTCATGTAAAAACTTTTTTCCAAAATCCTCAGGAATTAAGGGATTTTTGAATTTTAAGAATTTTTTTCGAATTTTTTCGAAAAAAAAATATTTTCAGAACAACCTTAACGGCTAAGATTTAGGAACAATGTTAAGTATCAAAAAGAAAGGAGGTCTGATATAGACAACATATATCGTTGAAGGTTGAAAAAATCTCTAATATTTGAGCCCAAAATTTCAAATTTTAATTTTTTGAAAAAAGAGGCCACCCGTATGTACGTTTATTTGAGAGGAGGAGGATTATATTTTTGAAAGGGTGAAACATTATGAATATGTTAATTATATAATAATATGTATTATTATAAAAAAGAAAAAATAAAGCACGTTAAATTTTTTCTTTCTTGATTTTTTACAAAATCTACTTAGAATTATGCAAAATATGACTAAATAATTATAAATTTCAAGTTAAATTTTAATTTTGATAAATAATTTAAATTTCAAAATGTCAAGTTCAGTTCGACTATGTATGTAGTAATTCCTCAATAAAGTGCCAAAACCCTATTAAAATATATGAACATTTTCAACATTTTAATGTTTTTATTTAAAAATTTGATGGAATATGAGCTTCAAACAATTATTATGTAAATAAAAATAATTAAATATATGTATTTATTCGTATTACAACCGTAGTAAGTCGATTCTTCCTTTCTTCTACTGAGATTTGAATTTGATTTCGAATTGTAAAGAGATTCAAAGGGAAAATACTAGCGGATAAAAACTACCTCCATGAAAGGGTCATAATGGAGTCAAGTTGTATTTTTTGATATTTTTTGCTTTTCGAGCCTAAATAGGTAGCCAAGATAATGCCTAAAAATAAGGTTCTAAATTCTGAAGTTTACATGATCCTCTCGTGTGCACCCTTAAAAAAATGCAAAAAAAATGTAATAAAATAAAAAAATTTTTAGTATCGATAATCTGAAATATGTTGTTTACTTAAGCCGCTCGCTTCGCTCGCGGCTTAGTTTCATAATTTCATACAATCTTTTTTCGAATCTGTTCTTTTCTTAAGCCGCGAGCGAAGCGAGTGGCTTAGTTTCGTAATTTCATACAATTATTTTTCGAATTTGTTCTTTTTGTCAACCGCGAGCGAAGCGAGTGGCTTTTTATTTTTTAAAAATTTTTTTCTTTCTTACTTTTTTTCCCCCTTACTTACAAATTTGATAGTAACTTACCAAATCTCTCTATCATATAATAATAAATTAATCCATTTTTTGTTTCAAATCTGACACTTTACATTTCTGACATGTAAACCCGTCACTTTTCACTTCACCTCACTGGGCAAGTTTGTGCCCCCCTCATTCGTCAAGGAAAATATCATTTTTTTTTAAAAAAAAGATTGATTCGAATGATCCTAACGTTGAATTAAAAACTTAAAGAAAATATCATTTTTCATTCAACTATCGGCGAATAGGACGATTGATTGTATATATCGAATCTTGCTAAGGATCAAAAGCCTTTTTCTAAAAATGAAAATATTCAATTAACTCAAAGATATTAGATATTAAAGAGTGATTCACATTGGCATAGCATTCACAAGGAGAGAGTAATAAATTTTATTTAATGCCGTCAAGTAATTTCACTAAGGTGTAACATATATTAAATACGATTTTATATGCTTCTTCGTTTTTGTAATTTGGTGTGTAATCAAGAGGTTTCCCCACCATAATCTTTTTCATTAATGTTTCCACCATGCGATATAAGAAGTTCGGATATTTCTTTGTTATTATTAAATACGGCTAAATGAAGAGCAGTTTTCCCATATTCATCTTTTTCGTTGATATTTGCACCATGTGAAATAAGAAATTCACAGATTCCTTTATAATTCTTTTTTGTTGCATAATGAAGAATAGTTTTACCATCTTCATCCTTTTCATTAATATTTACACCATGCGAAATAAGAAATTTGGCTGTTTCTATACTATTACTACATACTGCACAATAGATAGCTGTTTTTCGTTTTTGATTTTTTGCATTGATATCAATATCAAGTGAAAGGAAATATTCGCAAAGGGATGGAATATTAAACATCGATGAATAAACAAAACTTTCGTAAATATCATTAGTTTGACCAAAATAAACTAAAAATGATTCAAGATTTTTAAAATCTGTGCATTTTTCTAAGTCGATTTTAAGATTGTATTCATTCATCAAGAATGTAACAAAATCAATGTTGTGTGAAATAATTGCATATTTCATGCAATATATATCCGGCTTTCGATATTTCAAACATTCACTCATAATCTCTTTGTTTCCTCTTAAAAACGAAAATCGTAGGCATTTATAAGTTATTTCTGGGTTAAATTTCGTTCTTAATAACTTGAAACAGTCAACAGCTCCATAGTAGCAGCATAATTCAAGTAATGAATTTCCAAAGAAACTATCTGGGTATAATTCGCTATAAAATATTTGATCTTTATCAAATCCTTCTCTTTCGGTGAATATGATGAATCTTTCTAAGTCATTATACATAATTGCTCTGTAAATTGTATCTTCTGTATAAATATCCAGACTTTCAGTGTCAATTTTTTCGAAATCACATGATTTGTCTAGTTTAATTTCATATTCTTTATAAAACAAGAAGTTTGAAATAGGGTTAACATCGTTGACCACTTTGACATGATAGTCATCACATATGAATTTTGTCAGAGATAAATATGACTTTGTATAGCGATTATTCCACGGAATGATATTTAAAATATCGTTTATAATATTTTGGGGTGGAAATTTATTTGAATCGATCAATTCTGTTTGGATCTTTTTGTAAATCTTGTTTAGTTCTTCTTCTTTTTCAGTTTTCAGCTGATACAATGCATTGTATAAATCGATGTAGTATTTAAACTTATTTCGCAGTTCCTCATAATTATTTGGATGAACTTCTTGACAGTTCAACTCGATTTTTTTTCAAATTCTTAGACTCAAATTAGGAAATTATGTAAATAATACTAAAATGGACTTAACTAGTATTGAAGAAACAATTATCAGAGTGATTGTAAAACAAAATTTGAATTATTCCAAATGTAAGTGGAAACCCTACCTACAGATAATTGTGAGATATGAAAACAAAATAGAATTAATCTAGATATCAACTCAGATGGTTTTTACCAGACTTCAATTATAGTAGTATATGATGCGGGTTGTGTGACTTTTTTTGTAATCGTAAGAATTCTCACATAATTGAATGATTTTTGAACATACTTCCGAATAGCAGATTTTAAAAATTTATGAATAATTTATAAAAAGTTTTTATTCCTACAATTTCTATATTACCATTAATAAAAAGAATATATTTTTGACGAATTTCACAGACTAAATGAAAAAAAAAGACTTTATATAAAGATTTTGTTAAATTTCTTATTGAAAATTATTTGAAGCCTGAACATGTGATTCCAAAATATCACCGATGATATTTTAAAAAATAAAATAAATTATATTTTTTAAATAAAAAAATAATTTTTATCTGATAGAAATAATACCTACAAATGACGTATATAAAAAATTGACTTCTTACGTAAAATTAAAACTAAGTTAAATTTATTTTTTTTATTTTTTATTTTATAATAAATGAGTATAACAACTAATTCATTGAAATCTTTAAAGTTCACTAATTCAGAATTAGAAAATATTTTAGAAAATTTTGGAGACGGTTCTTATCCAACATATATGCAGAATGTGAAAGAGTTTTCCAGATTGTTGAATGAATTTAAATATAACGGACCAATTACTAAAAAGGCTATAATGAGATATTTATATCCCAAAAAAGTTGAAAAACAGGAGAATATTCCTCTTTATGGTCCAGAGGACCTGGGCTCAGAGAGCCTTGAAACACCTCCTGAATATTTTGAAGAAAAAATTAAACAAGATGAATATTATAACGATGAGATTGAGAAATTGGAACAATTAAGAAAAGAAATAGATGAAAGAATTAGTGAATTGAGAAATGCTGAGAATGAAGTAGAGGTTTAATGAATATCCCAGCTTCAGAATCAGAAGTTCAAAAATCACATGAGGAAAGATATAAAAATTACTTTTTGGAATCTACTAAAAATTTATTAGATGGTGATATTGACGAAACACTTTCAGAAGAAGGCACAAAATTTATTCATAAACATAAGCTTCAGTTTATTGACGATGGAGATTATCCATGTATATTACTTTCACCTCCTCTTGATTCTGAAAAATTCAAAAAAGCACTGAAAAATGTAACATATGCAACAAATACGATTAAGAAAGAAGACCATGATATTTACACAAATTATTATTTAAATAAATGTACAGGTGTTGATAAAGTTTTTGATTTGTTAGATAAAATATCAAAAGAAACAATTGGTACATATAAAATTTTATGCGATTGTGGTTTCATTATTGAAGATACCAATAATGTTTCATATGAAAGAACAGCACCGAAGGAAGACGAAGTTGAAAGGTCTATACCATTCGTTATTAAGAACATAAAAGATATGAAAACTTATAAACATTATATTTATTCATTTATTTCAGAAAAAATGGAAGCAACCCATAAAACATCATCTCATCATTTTATAGCTATTCATACATTCCTTTTCAAAGTTGTGAAATTAAATAAGACAGGAATTAGATTTAATGTATCAGGGTACCATTCTTGAGTAAATTAAAATGTATTCGTCACGTCGCAGATGATAAAAATTTATGTGTTCTTAATTCATTTTATGGACTTTAGCCCTGGACTCTCTGAGTCTCGGACTTTAAAAAAAAATAAACTTTATTTTTATTTATTTTTTAATTTTTATTCTTACATAAATGAACAAAAATGGAACAGCTAAAATGAATGATAATCAAATAAGAGCCGAAGGTAGAAGGTTATTTAAACGCTTCTATAACCCTGATGGTGTTAATCCGAAAACTCGGAGAAGTTATTTAAATGAAGCCATAGATGCATATGAAGGATTTGACATTTCATCAGAAAGTGAGAGGTTAGCAAGAATGTTAAACGTTAATATTGATTTTTATTATTGTGACCCTCAACCAGAAGACGTAGACATTAACAAGGTAGACTTTCCATTAGTGGAATCAATAATGATAGATCCAGAATTTGAAACAGTAAATATTTTATTAACACAGAGTCCATGTGGAAAACTTCACGCTGACAGAATTACAGACGTTGAAGCACTCACAGGATATAAAGTTTGCCCCTTTTGCAAAGAAGAAGTATATTCTATCCGTGATGATCCAGAAAGGAAAAACCAAAGAAGATTTTTAAAACATTGTGAGAAATGTAAAGAAAATAATGGAAGATTAATTCAAGACGTTCAATTGCAAAACACACAACAACCATATGCACCACATATCACGAAACAGAAGATATATCAATGGCTATTAGCACATAATTTGCAGGAATATTATAAACCAACAAGATATTATATTACTTTTGACTTCGAAACATTAGAGACTAAAGAAGAACTTCAACTTTCTGAGTGTGCAACTTTGAATGCTTACTTAAAACCATTCATGGTATCATCAACTGTCAAATTAAAGCCGCAAAGCGGCGAGGTCGTAGACCGTGATAAAACATTTACGAGGAATTTTTGCTTAACATCAAGTGATTCGTTCATCTCTGATTGGATTGAATTTTTATTTTCAACCTGTTCATTAGTTGCTAAATCAAATATTGAACAATATGAAGAATTAATGAATACATTAAATGAAAAACAGAAGGAAGCATTTAAAGAACTTCTAGATGAGGAATTCAATAAAGTGAATATCATAGGTTTTAATTCGGGAAAGTTTGATTTAAATTTAATTCTTCGTGATTTAAATACTGCAAAATGGAAGATAAAATCAATGCTGGGTTCTTCTTCTCAATTTAAGCAAGTCATAGTAAAGAAAACAAACTGTCCATATGAATTAAGATTTATTGACATCAGAAATTATATAGCGGGTGGAACATTAGACCAATTCACTCAAGATTTCGGAAACAATAAATCACGTGTTAAATCCTTTTTCCCTTATCAATTCATCACATGGGAGAATTACGAAGAAGAATTATATAAAGTGGAACCATTCAGTCAAGATTCATTTTATTCAGCATTAACTCAAGAAACTATATCAGATAGTGATTATCAAATATATCTCAATGATGCTAAAAATTTTGAGAATAGATTAGAATATTTTATTCATTATTGCAATAAAGACGTTGAAATTATGATTGACCCAATTGATAAAATTATCGAAGAAACATTTGTTTATAAAATTGACATGCTTCATAATCTTTCTTTATCATCGAATGCTTCAATGATTCGTTACGCTTTAGCATATAAAGACTTTAATCCTAATGAAAAATATCCTGAGGAAGAGATAGAATCAAGTTTTGAATTAACAAAAAAGTATTGGAAATATAAAATTGATTCATATAAGAAACAAGATGAAAAGGCGAAAAGAGATACTAAAAATAATGTTTCAACGGATGATTTTCAATACTATCACGATTTAATCCTTTCATCTAAATGCAAAATGTGTGGTAAAGCGTTTACATATGTAAATAAACCAACATTGGATAGAATCGATAATGAAAAACCACATACCAAAGAAAATTGTCAGTTAATGTGTTGTTATTGCAATGTCGTAAAATCAAATAAAGATGAAGATGTTCAACGTTTAAGAATCAATTTAAGAAATTATGCATTAAAAAATAATTTACCAATGACTTTAGATTCAGTTGAAGCTTATCACATTCTCCGTAATGGAATTACTGGTGGTCTATCAAATGTTCAACATCGTGTTAATCTTAAAGGAATCACGCACATTAATAAACTTTCATATAATCCAGAAACTAAAACTGTATCAAATGAGGACACCACCAACATTATGACTCATTTCGTTGGTGTTGATTTTAATTCATTATATCCTTCATCATTTTCATCTAATCCTCATGATTTCATTCAATATACTGACCATAAAATGTATATGCCGGGAAGATTGAAAGGTGTTATCATTTGTGATACAGCAACAAAGAAAGCAAAAGCACTGGGAATTATTAGAAAGAAAAATACTTTATTCGTGGCTGAAGTAAAGGGTCACATTGATGAAAAATACATTAATGATTACATAAACTTTTTATCGATAATAAGAAACTTAGATATTATCACAGATGAAAAAACAATTGGCAGTTTTATGTATAATTACATGAAATCAAACAATCTACCAGTTGACCAGAAACAGAGAAAATTAACTCAGTTAGCATCAACACACAACCAATATCAACCATTTTCTTCTTATTATCTTTGGTATCTAATCGACAGATTTCATTTTATCATCGATGATATTCAATCAATTTTAACATTTACGAAAAACACTTGTTTTAATGAATTTGCGAACGAATTTATGAATGAAAGACAAAAGGCTGAATTAGAAGGAAATAAAGGAAAAAGTTTATTTTGCAAGATTTCACTTAATGGATCATATGGTTACGATGCAATGAATACACAAAATTACGCAAAGACTAAAATAATGAATGCACAGAAGGCACGCGTTGCATGTATGTCAAATAAGTTTAAAAACATAAGAGAAATAGGTGAAGATACGTATCAAGTGATGCTCAAAGATAGATTTTATAGATGTGAAACATGTTTACAAGAGGCATTCTTCACTTTAGATAATGCTAAATACTGGTATTTGGTTTTCATTTATGATTTTATGTATAAATGCATGAATGTTAATCGTTTTCATTTCATTGAAGGTGATACTGATTCATCTTATTGGGCAATCGCTGGTGATCCAAATCTTCCTAACACTCAAGCATTTCAAGCAATTGTAACCGATAAACAATTTTATGATAAAAACATTTACAAATTCGCACCTTTTGATTTCTTCTGTTTTGATGAGAAATTTAAACCTAAATTAAAGAATAAAGCTGAAGAAAAAGCACATGAGAAGAAGTTATTGGGTTTAGCAATTGAGAAACAAGGTGATAACATGGTTGCTTTATGCCCCAAGTGTTATACATCATTCAACGGTTCAATTGATGGAAGTGATTTTAAAAAGATTGCACAAAAAATGAAAGGAGTTTTACGACAAAATAAACAATTAACACCTAAAAATTATTTGGATATAATAAATGATAAAGTGATATTTGATGGTCAGAATATTAATTTACAACTTAAAAACGGGTCAATGACTCGCTTAACAATCGGTAAGACTGCATTAACAGGAGCACACACTAAGGCTGTATGTTGTGAAAATGGATGTTGTATGCCGTTTATTTAATGAAATGCCACAGAAGAGACAAAAGGAACCGTTGAATGATGGGCACCCTTAAACATTTATTTTATTTTTATATAAATGAATAACACAGATTTAAAAAGATTGATTGATGATTTAATATTTAATCAAAATTTTCTTAGTTATAATGATTTTAAATCATATCTCCAAAAACATAATGAAAATATAACGGATGATGATATGGAATATTATTATTCATATTATGATAATGAATTTTTGATATATCATAATAGAACAATTTCTGAAATTAAAGACAAAATTAAAAATAATGAATATTCAAAGGGAAAAACTAAATCACAACTTAAACGGTTGAAAGATTTCAAAAATAAAGTATTAACAGAAGAAGATATTGATGAATTATATAATTTATATAATCCTGAGCCGCAAAAGCAAAAGGAGCAAAACGCCCAAGTCCTTCAGACCATAAATGATGCACAAGCTTTAATTTATGATTCATTAGTTAAACCATATTCAGCCCAACTTTTAAATGAAGATCAACTTTTGGAATTCATCCTTCAACATAAACTCGAAGCGGGAAAGTATATCAAACCTTTATATACAGCATATTTAAAACAAATGAATAGAATACATCCAGAATTAATGAAGGAGGGAATGAATTCCAAAACTTCATCATCCAAAATCAAAGCAGATAAAATTAAACCACTTGCAACACCAAAACCTCCAACGACAGTACCTGCAACACCAAAACCGCCAACGACAGTACCTGCAACACCAAAACCGCCTCCTCCTTCAGTTAATCCTTCATCATTCACTTTATTATATCCATTTCAAACATTAAAGAAGCAAAAAGATTTTAAAAAGGATTTCAAGATATTAAATAAACCAATTGACCCAAAAATTCAACCGTTAAAGGAAAAATTTGGTCGCCCTTCATTTGCACCATATCCATATTCATACGAAATCGATCATCTGGAATATTCAAAAGGAAACGTTACTTATTTATTTGCCATTAACATTAACACTAGATATTTATATTGCATTCCAGTGAAAGGGAAAACAGAACAGGAAACAAGAAGAGCTATTCAATACTTACTAGATCATGAAAGAGTAGATAATATCAGGGGTGATGGTGATAAAGGATTTCAGGCAGCTATGACTCATTATTTCCCACAAATTAATTTTTCTTTTCATCCTCTCCATATACGTTTCATAATAAAATAGTTGATGCGGTAATGAGAACTCTTAGAGATGCGTTAGGGGTTAACGGTCAGATATACTGGGATGGAAATCATGACTCCATCATACAACAGTTAGTATATTATTATAATAATACATGGCATAGAACAATAAACATGAAACCAGTGGAAATGAAAAATGATATTTCAAAAGAATGGAAATATATTAGAAAGCAAATGGAAAGGTTAAATGATGTTAAACGTGAACAAATTAATTCGGGCTCATGAATTTTAAACAAGGGGATAAAGTTTTGATTCATCTCGATTATGGAAAAACTGATAAATCAATGACAAAAAGAAGACGAAGATTTGACACAATAGCTGAATTTGTTAGATATATTAACGGTAATGTATTAGTTGAAGTTGGCAATAAATTAATAGAAATTCCGATTTATTTTATTACATTATATTTAAATAATATTTAATTTTTTTATTTCGTAAGAAATGAGTGACAACGAAGCAGCAAGAGTCCAGACGATGAATATAAAAAGAAACTAAACAGAATTAAATCAAAAATATGCTATTACAAAAAGAAGCCGCAATGTGGTGGGGTTGAAAACGATGAAGAGAGGAAAGAAATAATCGAAAAATTAGAAACTTATCGTTCAATCATTAAACTGAGTGAAGCAAAAATAAAAGAATTTAATAGAATAAATAAATTGATTGGAAGAGATGAATTTAATAAAGATGGATTTTTAAACTCAATCCAAAATTAATTTTTATTTTTCTTTGACAACATCTCTCTTTCCATCATTACTGCATAACCACATTTTCTCAGTTTTAGTGGTTTGTTATTTTTAGCAAGTTCTCGCAGCATTTTTATCGTTTCCTCCCTTGTTATGATTCGTGGTAAATTTTGAGCTTGCGGGGTATTCATTTATATAAAAATAAAATTTTGTTATCAGTTATTTTATCGTTAATGGTTTTCAGGTTATTCAATAATTAATTCAAATCATAACACCATGTTACCATGTGCTCCCAGGTCATTCAACTTCTCTGAAAAAATGAGACAACATGACATTTTGACAACAACATGGAAAATGATTTGTCATGACTTCATCGTAATGAGTGTAAATGACCCAAAAATAATGTTTAGGTGAAGAAGTGAGATCTCACCTCTTTTCTCACCTCTTGCTTTGTAGAACGAAGAGCATTCATTATACTTTGCATTTGGTACATGTCATCTTTGACCGAACGAATGAGTCTCAATTGTTTGTTATATTGTATGTATTCGTATTCTTCATTTATGGCTTCATGAACGATAGCAGTTGTTGTGTTCTCTGATGTTGACATATCTGTCATTTCATACAAAATAATTTTAAAACTAACTTTATTTTCTGACTTTCACAAAAGACCAAAAATAAACGCTTTACATGTATTTTTCAGCAACTTCGTCAAATAATTTTATAGCTTTATCTATCTCATCTACTTCAAACGTTTCTTTACCTTTTATGGGAGCACCATACATTTTCTCAAAAACTTCAAGCAGTTCTGTTTCAGCAGCTCTCATATCATTAACAACACAACCTTGACTCTATTGACTGTACTGTCATATCTTTGAGTTATATTATATGTCCTTCCTATCTTATATCTTTTTGTGTTGAAGTCCTTCGGTTTCTGAACGATGTAAAGTAAGCCTTCACTGCAACGTTCCGTATCGAATGAACCATATGTTATGAAGTATATCCAACAACTGGTCTAACCATAACAAAACTATTGGTATAAGACTTTTGTCTATAAGATATGCTCTTGTTCCATGAAATGCTACTGATATCATAAGCTCAGGATTTTTGTCAAAATTTTCTGAGTTGAAGCATTTCTAACCCAGTCGTTTGTTCTTTTCAGATGGAATATAATGTCTGACAAAGAATATTTGTTGTATTTCTTTGAGTATCTTACGTTTAAATCACCTATTCTAACCACTTTGGTGTCATCGTCTATCTTTCTAACTGTTTCAAACTCAATGTTTGTCATTACTGTCTTTACATACAAAATAAAAAAGATATAAAAATAAAATTAGCATTATTTTTCTAACTAATGAATTATTTTTGAAGAACTGATAGGGTCACCAGGTCACCAGTCACCAGGTAATTAACTTTTCTGAAAAAATGTGACAACATGACATTTTGACAACAACATGAGAGGATGGCATTTATTCATTATTTTTGAAGAACTGATAGGGTCACCAGGTCACCAGGTCACCAGGTAATTTAACTTTTCTGAAAAAATGTGACAACATGACATTTTGACAACAACATGAGAGGATGGCATTTATTCATTATTTTTGAAGAACTGATAGGGTCACCAGGTCACCAGGTCACCAGGTAATTTAACTTTTCTGAAAAAATGTGACAACATGACATTTGACAACAAACATGAGAGGATGGCATTTATTCATTATTTTTGAAGAACTGATAGGGTCACCAGGTCACCAGGTCACCAGGTAATTTAACTTTTCTGAAAAAATGTGACAACATGACATTTTGACAACAACATGAGAGGATGGCATTTATTCATTATTTTTGAAGAACTGATAGGGTCACCAGGTCACCAGGTCACCAGGTAATTTAACTTTTCTGAAAAAATGTGACAACATGACATTTTGACAACAGGGATGAAATTTGATGTAGTCCAAAAATAAAGTTAGTTTTAAAATTATTTTTTTTTTTATTCCTATATAAATGACAGCAACAAACAACAACAGCAACTATATCGTTTCTGATGAAAAAGTTGATTCATTAGTTGAGGAATTAGTTGAGGAATTAGCTGAGGAATTAGTTATGGCAGAAACTAAAACCCTCAACGAAAGAATTGGTGAAAACAAGAATTGATTTACATAACTACCTCAAATATGATGGAGGAGAGGAAGGAAAACTGGTATGGCTTTATTAGTAAAAAAATTTCGAATTTAACGATTATAGATGTTGATATCAATAAATCTACAATGATGAACTTAAAGAAACGGTTAAAAGACATTCTATCAAAACTTTCGGATAAAGATGTTATCGTTAAAACCGCTTCAGAGGTCTTCACATTATTGCAACACAATTTCTTCTATGCAGTTTCGAACAGAATGATTAAATGTTATTCCTGCAAATATTATGATATTGACATAATGACTTCTATTGATGATTCAAAACGTTCTTTAGTAGTTATGGCTGATTCAAGAGTTCGCAAGAATGCAACAGAACCAATCAATACATACTCATTCATTCGGGAAGTTATGATTCAACATTAACTAGAACAGTGAATGATATATTAAATGATTTGAATATTAAGGTAAGAGTTGAACAGAAGAATGAAGAAATAAAGACCATCGTCAATGAAAACAAAGATGTAAACATTGACGATAAACTAGCTCAGAGCATAGTTGATGGCATCTGTGATTTCGAAGTACATAATGATGGTGGAAACATGAATTTAGAAAAGAAATAACATTATTCACACTGTTTCAAGCTATTAATTCTTACCTATCATTTGATTAATGAAGCATACGATAACGTTTATAACTTCTGCAATTTAACTGAAAATGCAAAAAGTAATTTTGAAAAAGCACG